AGCAGCCCTCCCCTGCCCCTGGCCTGCCCCTCCCAGACCTCCAGGCTTGCCCTCTCCCATGGCATTCCGCCTGCCAGGTATGCTCTTCCCTTGGGTTTCCCGTGTCTGGCTTGTTCTTGTCACTCAGATCTCAGGGCGAATGTCAGCTCCTGGAGAGGCCTCCCCCATCACCTTTCTGACAAACCAGGCCCATCCCGGGCCTCATCGTCAGAGCCCTCGTCGCGGTCTCAAGCTGCTGGTGCTGCTTTGTTTATGTGACGGCTCACTACGCGTGGGGAGGCAGGGTGGGCTCCCAGAACTGGCAATGGGGCACAGTAGGTACAGTTGGTAGGTGGGAGTGCCACTCAGCTGGGTCTCAGATGCCCACTTATGAGGACCTGAGTGGCTGCAGGCTATCTGAGGTGTGGAGCTGGCCCTGGATTGAACTGGCCTGCCCACTGCAGGCTCCAGCTGGTGTGGGTCTGCCTGTGGCCCCAGCACTAGGCTAGCAGGGCTCTGCTCTGAGATCAGGGGCTCCCCTGCAGGAGACAACCAGCAGGGTGCTCATCCCGCCCGCCCAGGGCAGGCTGAGTCGCTAATTGACAGTGGGTGGGACCCGGCCAGCAGTCCCGGACAGGGTGGCTGTGACAAGATCCCACCTGGGACCTGAGAGCTCCCCCTGGGAAGAGGAGCTGGCAGCACTGGTCACTGCCCCTTTGGCCAAGCAGGGACTGTGCGGGCAGGACCTCTGCTCATTTCTGTGGCGAGGGGGCTGCAGTGTGGGCAGTCCCAGGATGGGTGTGGCAGAATGATCCAATCCCACGTGGACATGGAGCAACCAATCCCCAAGCCACCCGCCTCTCAGTGGCCCTGGGGAGGGCACATGTCTCAACCTCCCGCCCCAAGAGGTCGCTTTAAAAGAAGAGGTTCTTTATGGCCACAAGGCCCACAGGACAGGGTGGCTGCTGCTCCTCAAGGGCTCTGCACACCCCGCTCCACCTCAGGGCTTTGACCTGCAGAAATGGGAGGGGAATCTACAATAGTCTCCCCACAGGAACTGTTTTGAAGGCACACTGACGTAGTCACCATTTTAGGCCACCTGGAGTCCAGAAACAACTTGAAACTTGCATTTTAAAATCATTTCTTAAATCAGATTCCTTTCATTTGTATTTTACAAAGTCACAGTTTTTCATAACCAATCCTTACCTCATCCATTCCAAGCTGACTCCACTTCCCACAGCTTCCAAAACAGTCTTCTACATATTCAAACTTTGTGGGAGGACGTTTCTCTGCTTGGCTTAAGAGATCAGCTGTAACCCACTTTTTTTGAAGAGGGGAATCTCATTTATTTTGAATATATTTTTATTGATTTCAAAGAGGAGAGGGAGAAACATTAATGATGAGAATCATGGATCGGCTGCCTCCTGCACGCCCCCTACTGGGAATTGAGCCCGAAACCCGGGCATGTGCCCTGACCGGGAATCAAACCCGGGACCCTTCAGTCCGCAGGCCGACGCTCTATCCACTGACCCAAACCAGCTAGGGCTGTAACCCACTGTTTAAAATGAAGAACGAGGACCTTGGGTGGATGCTGGGGCTGTGCTGGTTTGGGAACAGCTGGCACAGCCTCTGCAGTGCCCGCTGCCTGAGGCTCACGGCAGGCAGGTGGCATGTGTCTGCACCTTCCCAGAGCCTGGCCTGGGACCTGCTATGCACAGAGGAAGAATGTAATGACACTTGTCACTTCTGTGCGACTGTGCTAGCTGCGCCCCTAGAGGCCCCACTCCCCACATCAGCCAGCGTGGCTTCTCCATTCGGGATTCTGTGGAAACCAGCATCCCATGAAATAGTAACAGGTTTTACTCTGAAAAGAAGTCTGTGGCCAAATAAGTTGCAAAACTGAACGTTAGTTTCTTTCCCACAGGACTTCCCGGAGCTGCCGCTGGACAGCTCTGTGCACCGTGAAATTCAGGCTGTGCAAACTTCCCAAATGTATCTGACCAAAGAATGCTGTTGTTTTTTTCCAGAAATATGAACATCTCAAGATTGCACAGAACATATTTTGGAGACTATTAACTTAACCTCTACTATACAAAAGAACAAGTACCCTCCCACTGCAGGTCGCTCTCAGTGCAGGGCTTCAAGGCCGGTGCTGTCTTGGGATTACAAAGTACTGCCCTTCCCAGGGGAGGGGGCGACGCTTGCTGAGCGCTTTGGCAGCTTCCCTGCCTGGGAAATGATGCCACTTAAATTTCTTTTTTATATTACATTTTATAATATTTCATAACAAAATTTTACATAACAAAATTTCTTCCACCCACAGTTTAATCATTGGCTTAGTTAATAACAAGAGTGTAAGGAAAAGCAATGTGGTTGGGTGGGCTTCCTCTTTGAAATCTTGCTTCAACCTTTGACATAGAGCCATTCGGAGGTCTGGTTCTAGCTGAGTTCATTTTCATGGCTGTCGGAGCTAATTCAAAGAGGAGCGATGGATGCCACTTGATTTTCAACTGTGCCCGGCACACAGCGCCACAGTGTGAACACCTACCACCAGCCAGGCCTCATGGAGGGTGGTTCAACTTTTTAGAAGGTCAGGAATGCAAGGAGGCAGGAGACCCTGAGTGTGAGGCCAGGCTGGAGTTGGTGAGGGTGAACAGCGTGGAGAAGCCACGTGGCAGGGCCTTCCGTCCCCAGAGCAGCCTCGAGACCCTCAGCCGGCCTCGCACTTCCCACCCGAGCTGCAAGGGTCCAGGCCAACGAGGGGAACCACTGTGAGAGCCAATGTCCTCAGTGAGGTCAGCTCTAGGCAGCCTTTGCCTTCCCCCTAGGATTGCAGTCCGTGCCCTGGTTGACCCTTTTCCATGACACTCGCCACTGCTCTCCGCTGGCGCGGGCAGCAGCACAGCACCGCCCCCACCAGCCGGACGCTCGGTGCTCCTTCCTCTCGGCTCCCTGCTTTGCTCAGGGAGTAACGAGACACACTTGCTCATTTCATCTTCTGCTCACCAGCTTTTTGTGGACAAAGACACAATTGTGAATGCTGTTGGGACATCACATGACATCCACCTTCTCAAGATTGACAACCGAGAAGATGAGCTGGTGACCAGAGTCAACTCTTGGTGCACACACTTAGTGGGCAAGGTGAGTACCTCTGGCGTGGCCAGGGAGGAGCGGGAACTCTGCGATAAGAAACGAGGAAGTAAAACTACCGAATTCTCCACTGGAGACTGCAGGTTGCCCAGTCCTGTGCTTCATCACTTTTCTCTTACCTCAACTACAGGGTGTCCCAGAACGTATACACTCTAACAGCTGATAGCTCAATTGGTGTTTGTTTCCTTTCGGATTTTACCCACTGGGATGAGTAATGAGTCAGTGTGTACACACTTTTGGGGGAACACCTGCATGTAGGTGGGTTAAGCAGAACCCAGGGAGCTGTGGGGTAAATGAGAGACATAACTATGCAAAATTCAAAGAACTACTTTTCTTTCCCCCAAACTGGACTCAGTGAGATATTAATCGATTCTCTGACCCAAGGAAACTGGGCTTTGGTTTCACCCTCAGATTCACAAGGATGAGATCATGAGGAACCGCAAGCGAGTGAAGGAGATCAATCAATACATTGACCACATGCAGAATGAACTGGACAACCTCGACAGTGGCGACATTCTAGATTAGGGGTGTCTGCCCAGAGAGTCCCTCGGAAAACACAGCACTTGGCCCTGCCAGGGGAGAGTGGGGATTCTCAGCCCACAGCCCCCAATGCCATCCTTCCACCACCCCTGCACAAACGCCCAAATGTAGACAGAAATAAAGGCCCGGTGTCACCGATTCTCCATTCTTTAGAGAGGTATCAGAATTTCACGTTTGTGTATGAGCAGCAGTAAGCCCGCTTCCTGAGAGCCATTCCCCAGGGCCTGCCGTGGGCTGTGCTCCTGGCCGTGCGCCACTCCCCTGCCGGGCCAGGCGGGCTGCGG